ATTTCCACTTCACTACTTTTCATGATAATAATTGCCATCCCTTTACTGAACTAAAAAGAGGCCGCTCACTGTAACCCAGTGATTTATTTCCAGAGTTATTTTACAGAGCGGTAGAAATAAATGGGCTGAAGCTCACATCACTGGAAACCCATTTTTATGATCTATCTAGTAGTGAAATTTCTACACAGATGTCTTCAGGTCTGGAAGACACACATAAATTATTGTGATTTTAAGACTTTTTCTCTGTATGCCATCCATACTAACCACTTGTATCGCTTTGAATTACTTAGGCATTGTATTAATATGTGATGTAAGGATTCATTATTGTTGTTAGTTGTCCTCAAGTAGATTCTAACTCATGGTGACTCCATGGCTGCAGAGTAGAACTGCTCCATAGGGTTTTCAAGACTGTAACCTTTCAGAAACAGATCACAAGCCTGTCTTCCAAGGTGCCTCTGGGTGGGTTTGAACTGCCAATCTTTTGGTTAGTAGTCCAGCTCTTCACCACTTGTGCCACCCAAGAAACCAAAAACCAAACCTGATGCTAGGGACTCGATTCTGACTCATAGTGACCCTGTAAGGACAGAACAGAACAGCCCCATAGGGCTCCACGGAGCCAGCTGGTAGATTCAAACTGCTGACATTTTGGTTGGCAGCGGAGCCCTTAACCACTGTGCCACCAGGGCTCTGCTTGGATACACTTATTTAAGATAGGAAGTGAAGATAAAATTTGAATGTGTGCTTGTGTGTATGCACGCGCATTCTGACAGATTGGAGGATAAGTTGTGATCTGTGAAAGAGGGTTAGCAGTACAATTTAATGGATTCAAACAGCTGGAGCTTCTGTTTATGTCTAAGTTGAAAACATAAATAAATATTTTGGGTGTCTGAAAGAAAGAGAGTGATAATTTTTTAAATTCCTTTTTTTCTTTTTTTTTTTAATCTAGTGCTGGAACAAGCTCCAACTACCATGAGTCAAAGAGAAAATACCTAGATATGGAAGGGTCAGCCTAAATCTATGTAGCTCTGTTAATAGTAAAGGCCAACAGTCTTTTGCCTAATAATAACTGATAATGTGCATAAACAGAGGATAATGGGAATAAAGTAGCATCACACAATGTTGCAAAACTGAACAAATTACTTATTTTATGCTGTAGGCAGATTAAGTAATAAAATAATGGTGAAAATAAAGCTCTTTGTTCTTAATGTGCATTGTATAATTAGAGATAATCTGTGTTGGTTGGTGGCCCTGAGGTCACAGATGACATTCTCATTAGAGTCAATTTATTTAGCCAGGCATAGCTTCCTTGATCTTTGTTATTTTAGCAATGGGTTGTTGGTGACAAGAGTGTGAATGCAAGGGCAATTTGTTTTTACCCATAGAAAAAGAAATCATTTAAATCCCATGTACTAGGTACATAGAATGGATATATTACCCTACACATATCATCAGTGATGACACATTCGGAAAAAAATGTGAAGGTGAGGAGGGGAATAAGTATTACAGATAATTCACCTTCCTTCCATATTGTGAAATATCAATACTGAAACCTACCTAAAGTGGTCAAATTAACATAATAGCAATGTTTCAAAACATGAACTCAGATTCAGTAGATAATGTGCAAATGATTCAACTGCTAATTCAGTGGTGGAACAAAAGCTTTGTGTCTTTGTGAAAGAGTTTTATCCTTACTTATCACTGATTAAATGAAAAAAATAAAAGAAAATGGCATTCAAAGTCCCTGTTAATACCTTCTCAGCTAAAATTCAGTTCATTAAATTCCATTTCCTTTATGATGGAACCAAGGCAGTTCATTCAATGACACTGAAGGGCTTGTTTGAGCAATTTGGGATAAGGTAATCCTAGCAAAAATAGGACATACGTGAAAATCACCATCAGTATTTTTGGCTACATGTTGTGCATAGCTGAGAGTCACTAGGGTGATGACTGAGGTCAGTGATCCCCAAACTTGCCTGATTATGAGTGTCACCCAGAGTCTGTTAGCAATACAGATTCCTAGGCCCTTTCATTGGTGTTTGAGCCAGGTGAATCTTATCAATGCATGAAAAAAACCTGATGGAAATGATGTATAATTACTATAGAAAAACAATTAAATGTATGTTGTAGGATATATCCCCTTGGCTGCTTTTTCTTATGCTAAAAGGCTAAGAAGAGAAGATTGGAATTAATCTTTGATAATGGGGCTAATAAGGGAAGTATCACAATACTATAAATCAGAGAACTAAAAATACCAACCAAAGAATATGTTACAAAATAAGTGATGAAAGATGTATTGGAAGACAACCCTAAGAATTGATTAATAAACCTTGGGAAAGAGTCCAGACCATGTATTTAATTAGAAATGTAATAAAATTTATTGGTGTAGCTGTTCCACTTCATGGAAACTTCCCCAGAGTCTATATATTAAACTAATGAAGTGCTTGACTCTGGCAAATGTGAAACAAGATCATTAAAGCTGGATCAGGTATTATCTCGGCAACTGCTATTGATTTGCACCTATTGATCAGTCCTGGTTGATACACAATGGTATTATAAGTGAAGGAATAATCACCCTCTTAAATCAAGCAAACAAAAGACCAATTTATTACACAATAGCCAGCCAGTATATATCCACAGTAGAATAAACAGAACACAGAAACATGAAGACAATAACCCATAGTTACAGGCACATGGCTAGAAGTGAAGCTAATTAATGGTTCAATTAACTATAATCAGTAGGGCCTACTATGGGCCAGGCCCTTGTATTAAGTGCCAAGGGTGCAAAGACAAGCAAGACATGGTCCCAGATCTCAAGTATCAGTTACTTAGAAGGGTCTTCTGATAGCTTCATGTAGAGATAAGTAAACTTTAAAATGAATCATAAGTAGTAGTATAAAAGCAGATGATGCACAATCCTTTAAAGAAATATGTTCTCTCTATGACATCAGTAACCTTGTGATTTTAATATAAAGCTTTATGCGTTTATTGCTTTTGGCAAATATTACAGAATTAAAAAGAGGAGTAACTGCTTTGGTTAAGCTGATTTTCTTTTATAGATAAAAAATTCTTTCAGAATGAATCATTTCTATATTCAATAAATAATACATACAACACAATACACGGTCAATCAATAAAAAAAAAAAGCCTTGACTTTATTTAGTCAATATGGTTTGGTAAACGACTAGGTATTTACTCAACTTGAGTCACTAAAAGTTACGAGGGGACCAGAGATCAATTGGGCGCAAGACTGGTACACGTGATTCTCTGTGATTAGACATACTTCTGCTGACATTGGTTGCACAGCAGTATTAGTTGCAAATATTGTAAGGGATTAGTCCTATGGGAAAATCCCCATGTCTCTGTGAGAATGAAGCATAACCTGGTGACAAGTATTCTGCAACCTCAGCCCTACAAAACATTTGCACAACAGCATTCTTTTAAGGGAACTGGTTGAATTTTTAGAAAATATTCATGAGATTGAATTAATGGTTATTGATTCTGTCATGTTTACCTTTCAGGAGACAATAAGAGGATTACCTTCTTATTTATATATATGAAGATTTATATATAAAAGGAAGAGTGACAATTTACGCTAAATAACATAGAACCTCTTTGCTAATCCTTGTGGAACTTGTATTTTATAAACATCAAGTTTCTATATTTAGATGAAAGCAGAGTCATATATTCTAGATGGTAGAGGGCTTCTGGAACCCAACACAAGTGTAGCATCTTTTCCAAGAGTGACTACACAATACAATAAACTGAAGACAACCACTATAGACAGGGAGTATATTTCTCTTTCTCCATCAATCACAAGTCTTCATAATCATACAATGTCTAAGGGTCTTCATATGAAAATCAGTGCTATTTGTACTTGATGGACACAGAGAGGCTAGAAACCTTTGGTTGCTAGCATGCCAATGAAGGTAATTTTTACTATTTTTGAATTTATTAATGTACATTTAAGCAAAACATAACACTGATCACTCTTTGTATGCACATTTAAAGTAGAGCAGGAACAAATGGGTATATACGAGACACCCCTGGACATAGATGTCTAGAAGAGGTAAACTCTTCGACCTAGAAGTAGATGCTTGTCTACGCTTCTTTGAAAGTTGAATAATGTGGCACTTCAGGGTTCAGGATCACCACCACGGCTGCTGACGTATAAACTGTAAAGAGCTTAGCTGACCTACTGCTGTAGGATTGAACCTAGTCACCGTCTGAAGTTTAGTCTGGAAAAAGGCACGCTATGCCAGACATCTTCAGAACTCTATTTACTAGCTACAGAAAAATGGAAGCTTGAGTATAATTTTTCAAGTATCCAAACTCTTTTTCATGATCTTTCGGTGAAGCGTTTAGCTTTACAGAACTATAAATGTGATAACTTCTTGGCTACAGGAAACAATTTAAAGGGAAAAAAGAAGACTGTTAAAAGAAACTGTGACGTTGCTAATATTAATGAATACAGAAAAAAATTCTCATAATGAATGTTTCCTTTCTAACTAATTAGAAAACCTGTCCTTGTTCTAGTCTCCCCCAGTAACATCTGGAGAGACCAACAAAAAGGAAAATATATCCTTACAAATAAAAGTCTAATAATACTGAATATTCATTTCAGCTTCTATGCCTGAGACCTATTTACCAGACGTAAAGTTGTGAGAAAGCATAAGCTGTTGATTTACAGCTTAAAGTCGTTTACATGGACTTCCATCTCTTAGTACAACCTGCTAATTATTAGAAAAAACATCAGTGATAAACATGTTAAGCAGTAATATATAAGAAAGGTATTAAAAAAAAAAACAAAGACAATATGTTAACTTGTGCATAGGAAATATAACATTCCTTGGTAAAATGACATTGTTACTAATTATAAAACTCCACAACATAAGGAATAAACTTTACAAAAATCTGATAGCTTAAGGTGCCACTTGGAAAAGGCCATTAAGTATGTTATGACTGCATTATTTTAAATACACGTATCATTTTAAGACATCCTTTCACATGTCTGCGCGGACAAAAGAAGCAAATACGCCATCTTCCTGAGCCAAGAGGCTTTCCGGAGTGTCATATTCTAAAATGTTTCCTCGCTTCATCACAATAACCAGGTCTGCCGTCAGAATAGTGTGAACCCGATGCTGTGAGTGAAAAGAATACACGCATTTGTTACAAATTCCAGGGCACAAGCCAAAGCAATGCAATATGAGTATTTCATAGATTATTCAGGAACACTTATTCTTCTTGGGACTTCAGGATATGCAGGAAGCATAGAAATTTTTTTTAAATTTATTTGAAGTATAATCTACATACATACTTTTTAAATACTGCCATGCACTACTGTGTCTTACATGGGTTGTATGAACCTGAGTGTTGCTACTATATCAGTTTCATTGTTTTCGTGGAGCCTACTTATTAGCATAAGTGGGCTACTTATTAGCATAAGTAGGCTAATAAATGTTTGTCAAATAATTAAATGATAAGAGGAGTCATCATGAACCCTTTGGGCTATACTTCAGTCTCAGCTACAATTATCTATTATGTAGAGTCAACTAATTCCATGGAATACCACACAATTTGAAGACCCCTGGAAAGTGGCTGAATTCTGGGAAGAGACAATATGAGGAAGTCCATTCTGGCATGCAACATTACAATGGGTTATTGAGCATTTTAAACATGCTTAGTCATCCCTTAGTCATTAGAGACCCTTTAGTCACTAGAGATTACTACCACTCACTCATTCTCTTTTTCTACATAGTACTCTTTGGAGAGAGGCTTTGATGTTAGTAATTAATACTCATAAAGGTGACCACTTATTAAGCATATGCTATACATTAAGTGTTCCATATACATACTTGGTAATCATCAGAACATTAATTAATTTATTCCATTAATCCAAATTAGCTTTTTCTTGACGAAATACAGTGTCAATTGCAATAGCATTGATGAAATTTTCAAAATGCTCCAGAGAAATTAATCTAGTCAACAGAGAAAAATAAATCACTCTCATACATAAATGTCATTGACTATTTTGGTGCTCGAGTGCTTCCTGTTAGAAGCTGAAAAAGTTTATCTTTTTTAGACTTCCACAATTTTCAGTGCCAGTTAACAAAACTAACAACAAGTTTTAGGTGGAAGAAAAATAGTTACTCTTAACACAGCTGAAAATCATTCTACAGGGAGTCTACCACAAGTGTGGTGGGTGTTCTCTCTTAAGATCCTGTTAAGAGGAGTTGGCCTCAAGGCGCTTCCTCCTCCCACAGCTTTATAGTGTCCCGGGGGAAGAATTCCAGGTATCTTGGTGGCAATTTTGATACTAATGGTCTTGACATGAAGATTGGGTAAAAATACATAAATCTATGGAGAAGTATTCAATGAATGTAGAACAGAAATCTGGTAAGAGAGCATTATTTTTTGGTTAAAAGTGCAAATTATGCTCAAGTAATCTCCCAAGCGTAGACTAAATGGCACTACCCAACAATGGAATGCTTCATGCAGAGAGAAGACAATAATTTTAATAAACAAGGGTCTACCTTTTTAAATATTTTTTCCATTTAGGGGCAACGGAAAGTTATTTCTCCCCTAAAATATCTCTCCACCTATTCCAGTGTGAAAAATTTTGATTATGTTAAAGAACTATTTTTCAAGTCAGCCAGTTCTCTCACCTATGAAATCATTAACATTTCTGTGTGATTGAATTACTCAATTACTCAAACTCTCCCCTAGGGGAGAAGGAACCAGGGAGTTCCCTGGGAAACTGAGAGAAAATAGGTTTTTCTTTACTTAGGCACAGTTTGCAGCAGGTGGGCCCTAATGGGGAGTCATTTTGTCCCACCCTGAAAAAGCTGTACTTCAATGGCTACTCTTTCTCTCATTCATCATTCACAGAAAGGCGAACACCAATTAAGCCCTCCACACACAACTCCCATTACTCAACAGTTAAACTTCAGTTGTTTTTTTAAATTAAGCAATGCAGTCTTCAAGGCTGGTAAGGCATTTTAAGGATACCTACAAAACATCCTCAAGTAATTGTAAAACTGTCTCTTAGGGTAGAGGACATCAGCTTGGCACGTTCTCACAAATCCTTCCTCTTGTATGCATACCTTTGAAAACATATGCATGTGCCTCATCCAGTACCAAATGTAACTGAAGCACCCTGTTGGATTCCTTTGTGTGCTATTACCCTGTGGTGAGTTCCTTCACCCAAAGCCACCCCTTTAATCACAGCATTAGCCTTGCATTTCTGACAGGAGGCCACTCAAATAACTACCAGAGAATGAGATACTTGGCAGAGTAGATCATGGTGGTCTACTTGTTGGTCATCACCAAAGTGGAAAAGAGGCCATTCTTGTGGGCGAGTAAGTTTGGAACAGTATCACACTCCACTAAAATACCCTCAGAAAAGACTAAAACAAGGCCTGCATCCATAATGGAAGAGACGCGATGCTGGAGAGAAAAGAAAAATGGAAAGAAGAAAAGAAAGAAGAATCAGCAAGAGGGAAAATGTCCAAGTGACTCATTAAAAAATAGTTGTTGTTAAACAGTAAGCCTAGATGTGAGCAGGAATTGTGTATGTTCACTCACAAAGAGGGAGAGAGAGAAAACCACAGCTTATTTTAAGTAAGCTCTAAGATGAATTATAACAATTCAAACAATTCTTCAATTTGACTGTTGCCATCTAAAATCAAATGTACCTGAGTCCGCTGTGAGGTATCTCACTGCCCTTTTTTATTTTTTAAACAGATAAGTGGCTATAAATAGAGGGATTAAGGGTAAATAGTAGCAGAACTGGCGAACAAATTTAGGAATTTTGCTTCTGAAACTGCTCATCACACCATTCGGTTATACTCCTGAGAAAGCAACTGAAGCAGTTGTTGAAAAGAGAATTATTTCCTATTATTCATATTTCATATGTATCAGGAGAAAAGTTACAGCTCATGACCTGCTAGCATTCTTAGATCTATGAGGCCCCATCTTTGTAAATTAGGGGAGGTAGGGAGAGCAGATAGCTTGGAAAGTACAATGTAAAGGCTCTCAAAACACACCTTTTTTTTTTTTTTTTTTTTGCACAAACACAGAAACCCTGACAGAGAAATACATAATTCAACATAAGCATATTTTAATTGCTCAGATAGAAAGATTACTGAATCAGGGAACAAGAACCAAAGACTAAATCAACTCTGTCTCTCATACTTACAGCTATTGTAACAACTGTGCGGTCTGCAAAGGCTGTCATTACCACTTTCTGCAAAATGTTTTCCTGCAAAAAAAAAAAAATTCTGAATTTTCTCTGAACTATGTTCTCTTGACATAATATTCTGCCCCCAAGAACAATGCTCCACGGTGCCTGGTCCCTTCTGAGAATTTCTGAGTCTGTAGGTGTCTCCAAAATACAAATAAAAACTAAATGATCAGCCAGAAAAGCGTGGCAGATTTACTGCCAGGAAACAAAGAGAAAAATGAAATCAAAAGGGCATCAATACACTCACTTGTGTTACATCACAAACAACATCTATTCAAAACTAACAAAACCCTAAAATGGTGTTAATCTTCGAATAAGAAAAGAAAAAAAAAAATTAAATCCGTGTCAAAAGTCTGGATTTTGACCCATTAAAGAACAATCAAGACAAGATCCATTTTTATTCTCACTACAAAGCTTTGCTGTTACTATAATTTTAAAGATGTTCATGGGTAAAAATTCCACTTCTAGGAGAATGCTTGATTACCTAAGCTGTAATGTGAAGGAGTTCTTTCTTTCAATCAAGTGCCCTATTGCCATTTAATTCTCTCTCCTTATAATGTCTCCTTATAATAACTCCAGTATTGTAAAACTTTAGTAATTTATACTGATTTTTATGTCTTTAGGTTTAATTAGTGAGATGGCTTTATGAGAGATGATTTTTATTGCTTTAAATTACGTTAACTTTGAAAAGACTTAGTATAGTTACTTTAATTGATTAGTTTTAACAGAAAAGATGTCAAATTGGCTCTTAAAGGTCTTGAAACTATTTCACTTTGGACGCAATTTTAATCATTCAAAAATGTGGTGCAAGAAAATAAAACGAGGTTGTGAGTATTTTTTTGGTTTTGTCCTCTGTCACGTTAACTTCTAAAAGAGCCACATTAGTTACTAGCTCATAAACAGTCTGTGATTTAATGTGACACTTCCCCCTCAATCACAGCCTTCCAGACAGATTTTTCTTGGACACCTTGACACTTATAAATAATTTCTTTCAAAAGGCAAAGTTTCTGATTTGTTACCAGCAGCACACTGAGATGGGTATTATCAATTCTAGTGAACCCTTCTTCTGCAAACTGCTTTAGAAATAATAAGAGATTTTGGTTATCAATAGAGTCTATTAAGTAGAGACATACATTTGACTTTAGAACTTCTATGGCATAATACACGAATTCCAGTACAGTACTCTCATCAGCCAAGCTTTGGAATCTTACTGTTTTGAGAACTTATCAAAATAATAGCAAATTTATTTTACGTTCATTGGAATAGTAACTCCTTTAAATCAGGTGTCCTGTCTCATTCATTGTGATTCTCAATGAGATATCACCTGATCATCAAGGAGACAATGAGAAGACACTTAAAACAACAGTACTGAGGACATAACCCAATCAGGAAAAAAGAAATAATTTCCTTGTGAATTTCTGCAATGTGTCAATTTAAAAAGTTCTGCTAACGCACTCACGGTGGCCATGTCGATGGAAGCCGTTGCTTCATCCATGATAAGAATGCTGCTTTTGCGGACGAAGGCCCTAGCAAGGCAAAACAGCTGTCTCTGTCCAACGCTAAAATTCTCTCCACCTTCAGTAACAACTGCATCTAAATCAGAGGAAGAAGCAAGGATTCCACTAAAGAAATGCTACTAACGTTTTCGTTGGGCAAAGTAAAAAACACATTATGTCCTGTAACAGCATGCAGAATATCACTTTGCAAGGATTTCATATTGGAAAAGTGAAGAGGAACTTTGCAAAAATGAAGATGGTCCTGGATCATCGTAATTTTAACAACAGATGTTGAATTACATCCTC